TTCATGGTCGTGTGCATGTAGTTGATGTCGAATCAACTGCGCCTGCCACACGAACCAGGCTTCTTCTTGCAAAAGTTGAGTTTTTTGCCTTTACAGTTTGGATCTCATACCATCCCATACCATGTCATGTCATCTCGCATATTCGCAGGTCATCGCATACCATCCCATACCATCTCACATCATCTCATCTCATACCACACAAAGGCTTGCTTCAGTAGATACTGAGACTGTCAATCCTGTGTTTGACCCTGTTTCGTGTGACAGGCATGGTATTTCCGGTATGTTCGCCAGTGCTACTGTCAATCTCCTTCCCCAGCAAGAACCTTACCAAGCCGAAAACAGCGACTAGCGTGTGCACAACCCAACTTTGAAGCAATTCCAAACTGTAAACGCAAAATAAGCATGCCGTCAACTTTTGCACGAAGAAGCCTGTTTCGTGTGGCAGGTGCAGTAGATTCTACATAAAATTACATAAACATCTGTTTTCCAAAGCCCAGTTGTCCCCCCTAGACGAGGTATTATATATGCCAATACCCTATTCGAATAACTCAGGCCCCTACATCAACCCCTGAACCCTAAATCCTAAAGCTTACTTGGCCCCCTGATCCGAATTTCTTAAGTATGGTTTTCAGGATTGTTATACACGGTTCATAGAGGGTTACCTAGGGTTTTGGTATATTTTGGTATAAGTGGTGTTCTTCATGAATAGGGTAGCTAGAAGCATAAGCAGTATTAGGGGACTTACAACTCCACTTGTAGCTACCCCTAAACCCTAAACTCTGAAACCCCTAAACCCGAACCCCTGAAACCCTAAACCCTAACCCAGAGACTCCAATACCCCTTAATTAAGGAATACACCTTAAATCATATTAAGGATCCTATTATAGTTTAAGGCATATTCCTTAATTAAGGGGTATTGGAGCCTCTGGGAAACCAGGGTTGTTGTACACCTCTAGCCGGCGCTTGCCAGGTTACTTTGGCTCCCGACAAAGTCGTCAGCCTTAAGTCCGGTACCAAGGAGGGCAAGATTTGAGGGCTGAGAGGTTCAGGGTTTAGGGCTTTAGGGCTTTGGAGTTAGGTTTTTGGGGTTTAGGGTTCAGGGTTTAGGGTTTAGGGTTTAAGGTTGAGGGCTTTAGGGTTTTAGGGCTTAGGGTTTAGGAGTTAGGTTTTGGGGGTCCGGTTGTCAGGGGCTTTGGGTTGGGGGCTTTAGGGCTTAGGCCTCACGGTTTTGCTGGAGGGTTTGAGGCCGGCGCAGAATCTCTGGACCTCGCTACTTTGAGAGATTTAGATCCTGGCCTGCGATCCCGCTGAACCCTAAACCCTAAACTTGTAACTCGAGGATGTGGGTTCTGCAAGTAAACCCTACACCCTAAATCCTAAAACCTGCGCCCTAAACCCTAAAATTAAACCTACATGATAGTGGAGAAGCCCAAGCTCCACACCCTAGACCGTTATAGGTGCCTGAGTTTAGTGTAGCAGTCCCGTTCCAGGCAGCGCATGCCTAGCCATCCACGTATAAAGGGTCCTATATATATATATATATATACATATATATATATATATACATATATATATATATAGCACTGCGATCCCTATGGCAATCCGTTTTTGGGTGGCCGCTTCTTAAGCAGTTGATCTGGGGTCTACACTACCCGCGGAGACAACTTCCCCTCTGTGCGAGGCCAGACAACCTGAAGCAGCTGCCTGCTGAAAGTGGCATCCTTGCCGAATTTCATAGCTTTAATTACAAGCCCTACACCCTAAACCCTGAGCCCTAAACCCTAGCCGTAGCAGGCCTAAACTCCACTTTTCTGAAAGTTGAAAGTCGTAGTCCAAAGCTCCCCAGTTCAAACCCTACACACAAGGCCCCATATCCCAAACCTGTGAAGCTACTCGAGATATTGGACCGTGGGCCCTTGAAATGTGAAGGTTTAGGGTCAGGGATGTTGTCGTTTCCATCTGGGGTTTAGGGTTTCAGGTTTAGGGTTTAGGGCTTACCTTAAGAACACAAAACCTACTTTTTTGTAGGGTCACTATAAATCCCATATTCGGGTTTATAGTAAGAACCTACAAAAAGTGGGGTTTGGGTTCTTAAGGTGGGGCTTAGGGAACCTCAATCCCATCTGAACCGCCTGCAAGTCCCTAAGGTCCCAAATAGCCATACAGCAGGGTCATGGTTTGGTAGCCTACTTTACGGTTTAGGGTTCCTTTAAAACCCAGATTTGCAATTTCGGCAAGCCCCAACTCAACGCCAAGGCACTAAATTAAAGGAAGCTACAGGTGGGGAGTTTAGGGTATATAAGGCTTCTATAAGGCTTCCATATGCTACAGAGACCTTCTGTAAGGGTCCTATAACGGTAACAACCCACCTGAAATGTCCTAGACTAAAACCTGTACTCCAATAATGCAGACCTTCGTCCTCCTGTGTCGCTTGAGGCGTTGGGGTTTGGGGTTCTGGGCCTCTCAGTTTAGGATGTAGGGTTTAGGGCTTAGGGCTTAGGGTTTAGGGTTTAGGGCTTAGGGGCTTTGGGGTTTAGGGGTTTAGGGTTTAGGGTTTAGGGTCTCACCTTCCACCCACAACCCCAAAGACGTAGACCAGTGGAGTATTCTGCGCAGCTGTGGAGGTCGGTTAGCACCAGAGAGGCTTTGCTCAATGGATTGGGGGACTTAGTACGCAGGCTGCAACTTGAATTACAAATGCTTGAATTTGGGCCCCCTAGCAGGCAAGAGCTGTCTGGGGAGCCAAACCGAATCTACGAAAAACCTTCGTATTTCAGATTAAACCCTAGAAGCCCTAGGAGACACCATAAGTCTTTAAAAGAATAGCACATGTACAGAATACTTCGTTCTTACTCAACGCTATGGGCACTGCCGTGAACCTCGAAGGACCACGTGAAACATCTTAATGCCTGGAAGGATCCAAACCCCTAAACCCCTCAATCTCACAGTGGACCCAAAACGTCCCAAAACCCTAAACCACAAACCGTAAACCCGAAACCGGTGCCCAAACCCCAAACCCTAAACCCTAAACCCTAAACCCCAAACCCCAAATCTTTTAAACAACGAGTTCCAAGGACCGACGCAGGAGTCAGCGGGAGGTGCCGATGCCTCCGGCCATGTGTTCCAAGCTGGAGAAAGGGTGGAGGCGGTCAGAAGTAAGTAGGTCTTCAGGGTTTAGACCCTAGACCCTAAACCCTAAATGTTAAGAGTTCAGGGTTTATGGTTTAGGTGTTAAGCCTTAAATCAAACTCCAAACGCACCCCAGCCCTCAACCCTAAGCTCAGAAATAAGTAGGTGCCAGGGGCTCAGAAAGGGTTTAGAGTTTAGGGTTAGGACCTAGACAAATTACCCACACTATTTTGCTGCGTCCCTGATTACAGTCATAATATAATATACCCCAAATTACAGCTATACTATGATATACCCCGAAAGCTTATTCTAATTATCAAGGCCCCTAGAGTAGGGTTTAGGGTTAAGGGTTTGTTTTT